TCGAGGAAATCACAAATAAAATGACTGCAGGGTTCAATGAGAAGCCCCCCAAAAATTAAATATACTCTTAATCTTGATTTTAGTTCAAGTGAATTGTAAAATTGTTCACTTTTACAAATTAAAAGCAAATGTATTATTAAGGGATCATAATAGAATTTGTCACCTATTTCAATAAGGTTCTGTCTTTCAAGTCCAAAATACATTATCTTTATCTGCCAAATACTGTCTCAACTTCATTATCACTAGTCTTTTATAGACCTAGCTGAAAAGCCTATGTATTTAATCTTACTTTGAAATTCAGTTCTCACAGCATACAATGTAATGCTTCTTTGCCCCTCACCTGCCAATTATTAAGAACAAATATGAACTACCAAAACAAAGGCATATTATCTGAAGCTAACTGAAATCATTTTTGCTTGCACTTTCATTTTAATATATTTTTAATTATGCTTATTTAACTAAAAATATATTTTAAAAATACATGACTTCGTGTAGATGAGCAAACATAGAATTACTGCATCATAAGTATGCAGTTTTTAACAGATACTACCAAAATGCCCTCCAAAATAGCTGAACTAATTTATACTTCTGCTAGCAATGTAAGAGTGCCTATTTCCCACACCCTTTGCATCACTTGATTTAACCTAACATCTGCCAATCTGATAGAGTAAAAATGATCTCATTGTTGTGTTAAGGGAATACTTTCAATATTGTACCCTGTATGAATTACCTATTTTCTAAAGAGCATACACGTGCTGATATTTTCCCAGCCTAGTCCTTCTCTGTTATATCTCTTTTCCTTTCTAATTAAACAATAAAAGACCCAAACAAAAAATAACTTTAAAATGCCCTCTCTTCCCCACCTGCCAACCCTTCCCAGGGACCCTTCACTAAGACAGGATATATATTTCTGGGCTTTACAGAAATGAAGCATGGTATGCTTGAGAGAGAAGAGAGTGTAATAAAAATGCCCATGTTGGGCAAGCTTTGGCATAAAGGTTAATCAAGAATCTTGAGCGCTACAGCATGGTTTGAGACTTTGATACAACGCTCATTTCAGTTCGTATTGGTTTTCTGGAAGAAGAGTGATACTTTGAAATTAAAATTCTATAATTAATCTCAAAACAGTATGCAAAATAGATTGAAATGAAACAAAAGAATGGATATGAAGGTACAGATTTCAAATTTAAGCCATCAGATATGTGGAGACAAATGTGAGAACACAACTTGGATGAGAGATGTGTATTACCTACACAAAGATGAGAGAAGGGATATGCTGTCGAGAAGGCAAACAAGTGGGAAAGAAGCAAAGACCTCAGCTTCAGGGTTTACCTAGTGAACAAACCAAAAACAGCCAGGAAAGCAGAGCAAACAATTTGCAAAATGAAGGGAACCAAGCAAAGTGGTTTTCAAAATAATGGAATGACAGTAACAAAATTAAATAAGTGCAATGCAGGGAAAACTGAGCAAAGACCATTACATTTTTCCACAAGATATTTAAGACAGTAGTAAAATCTTAACCTAAACCAGGAACCTAAACCAGAATTCAAGTTGGCTGAAGGAGATGGCATAGCCTATGATGACACCAGTTCAAAGAATTTGGCTATGGAACAAAGGTAAGTAGATAACTTGTTTATATCCCACTTCCTTCCAGAACATAATATGGTAGGGTTAATAAAACATAAAGTCCGACAAAGGAAAGGAGGAAAAGCAAATATCCCAGCCATGTGAACTAATAAAACTGCTATAGTTAAGTATTAAATTCACTCTGAGCTTACTGGTAAGCAGGACGAAAAGGTAAACAGTGCAAACCACATACAGTCATGCATCTCTTAAAGATGGGGATACATTCTGAGAAATTCAATGTCAGTCAATTTCGTCATTGTGCGAACATCATAGAATGTACCTACACAAACCTAGATGGTATAGCCTACTACACACCTAGGTTATATGGTACTAATTTTATGGGACCACTGTCATATATGCGGTCCATCATTGACGGAAACATCATTACGCAGCACATGATTGTAGTTTCATATAAGAAGTACAACTATTTCTCAAGAGAAATTTTTTCTGGATACAAAAAAACAAAACCAAATTTCTCATGTGCGAGCCTAAAATTCAAAGGCCAATGTCCTTGTCAGGTTGACAATAAATGAAGCAATTTTATTCTTATTGTATAAACAGTTATGTAGTATTTAACATATGCCAAATATTTTCCTAAGCCTTTTACAAAATGTTAGCTCATTGAATTTTCATGTGGCCATTTCATTTAATTATCCTCTATAAAACCAGGCAGGGTCCTGAATGCTGGCATTCCAGGTGGCTTGCTGACTGAGGGATGACCTATGCTTTGGAAGCTGAGCATTAGAAAGGATAACAGGATCAATGGGAAGCTTACCTCCTAGAATAAGAGAAATGTTTATCACATAAAGGCAAAACGGAAAGAGCCAAAGGAGGAAAGCTACATTTGGAAACCAAATCATTCAGGAAATGGAATCTTTAACCAGATTAAAATTTTTTTTCAATCTTCAGGCCAGTGCTCTTCACTTTATATGTAAATTGGAGATAGCTGGGGTTCACTCCTGATAACCTTGACTGAAAGCTCTCAGGATTATCATGTACTTGGATTGCTCCTGAACCAATCTAGTTATTACTTCAAATTTTGGGGGCAAAAAAATAAACTCCTTTGAAGTAAGGTTAACAAGGTTATCTTATTGGCAATTCAAACTCCCACGGCATCTAAGCAAATATTCTTTTTTTTTTTGTGAGGAAGATCAGCCCTGAGCTAACATCCACCCTAATCCTCCTCTTTTTTGCTGAGGAAGACCGGCTCTGCGCTAACATCTATTGCCAATCCTCCTCCTTTCCCCCCCCCGCCCCAAAACCCCAGTAGATAGTTGTGTCATAGTTGCACATCCTTCTAGTTGCTGTATGTGGGACGCGGCCTCAGCATGGCCGGAGAAGCGGTGCGTCGGTGCGCGCCCGGGGTCCGAACCCGGGCCACCAGTAGCGGAGCGCGCGCACTTAACCACTAAGCCATGGGGCCGGCCCTGAGCAAATATTCTTGAAGGATTCCCTCCTTAGACTGGTTTTCTTTGGGGACTAGCGGGGACAGGACAGGACCTTTTTTACAGAGGGTTGTCAATAAGTATTAGCCAAAAGAGTGTTTCAAAGTTATTGCTTAGAATAGATGTTAGCTTAGAGCCGGTCTTCCTCAGCAAAATGAGGAGGATTAGCATGGATGTTAGCTCAGGGCTGATCTTCCTCACAAAAAAATAAATAAATCAAAGTTATTGCTTAGAGATGATTTCTTATTTAGAAGGCAATGAAGCTAGAAGCTTCTGGGAAACATGTAAATCACAAAAGGAGCTCAATTTCCTATCTGACAAAGGGGAGAAAAAGAGAGGCACAAGAGAGACAGACTGGAAGATATATTTTCACTAGAAAAAAAGCAGTTCCCATCCTATAACCTTTAAGGACTTTTAAATGCTAATAATTGCATTTTGCAATTCTGTAACTCTGGGCACATGTATTTAAAGTAGTTACATGTCTGGTAAACCGGATATTAGGTAAAACTGAGTATCAAATAAGATTAAGCATACACATTCCAGTCCCTAAAAACATTAGAGAGGCAGAAATTTAACAAAGGTTCAGCTTTTTAGAATTTGAAAGGATTTGAGTCATCTAACCAAAGATGTTAAATGACCTGCCCATGGTCATAAGGCTACTTTGAAGCACAAAACCATTATCACAGAATACCACAAATTCTGCCCATCACCAAGTGATGTTTTTTTTTAATAAAATTTTTCAGTCTGGGAAAACAATTTTAGTTTGGAATGTTTTAAGAAAGTGCCAACTTCAATTACAGGAAATGTTAAGCAGGCCCGAGATTGAAAGTTTAGGAATCACACGTCCAGTCTGACTTAAGGTACTTTGAAGCTGGAAATAGTAACATAAGTAAAAGAGAGGCAAAACAGTCACATAATGTCAGCACAAAGCCAGAAAAATAGGGTATAAAGAAAGCAGACAGGTAAATTGTTACCCACATTGGGAAAACAAAGTTTGTGTCCATTTATATTACACAAAATATCCAGGAAACTGCTTCACATACTATGTAAGAAAAACCAATTTTAAGATTAAACTACCGTACGGTATAGACGAACTAACATCCTACCAAAACTTAAGTTACAAAAGCTACTTTACACGGATTTTTCACTGAGTTAGTTTTACCCGTCACATTTCATCTTGGCTATTTTGACTTTTATTTTCAAAAATGCGCCCATTTCACGGAAGACATCAGACAGGCCAAAGCTGGTCCCCAGCGCAAACAGGTGGTCTGTACCGCGTGCCCCATCTTCTCGGCCACATGACCCTTTTCCTCATCTCGTTTCGGAAAGAGTATTTCCGGTGCCCCAGATGGCTCTCCACACGCCAGAAGAAGCCACTCGAGAAACATTAAGAATACTGGGCAACGTTAGGCTTCAAAAGAGATGGTGGGAGAGATGGAAGGAGGGCAGGCAGAGAGGGCACTCGGGCCTGGAAAAGCGACCAGTCAGGGAGGCAGAAGCTGTGCTCAACGCCCGACTCCTAAATGTCACTCGGCGGCGACGTTCGTGTGGCATCAGCCACCAAGGGCTGGGCGGGCGCCAAGCGCTGCAGCCAAGAGCCGGGCGCGCAGCAGGCGGCGCGGGCCCGGCAGCCGCAGCTCCAGGGCGGGGGGCGGGGGACCAGACTGGCCCCTCCGGCCCCTCGGCGGCCCCCCTCGGGCGGCCCGCGCCGGGAGCGGCGAAGGGAAGTGTGGGCCGAGCCGAGGGGCGCGGGCGGGGAAGGCGCGGGCGGGGCCGGGCCTAATCACATGGCGCAGACGGCGCAGGCCGCCCGGCATCTCTTTCTTTCTCTTTCTCGAACCTCCGCTCCCATCCCGCCCCCCCGCAGGCCCCTCCCGAGCCCGGGCCCCACGCGGGACGAGGCCTCCTCCGTCTCGCGGAGACACTCACTTTTCGCCCGAGGCCACCAGTTCCTTGCCCTCGCTGTTGCCGAGCGCGTCCGTCTCCCCGGGGCCGTCCTTGGGGCCAGGCGCCGGCGGGGCCGCGGGCGGAGACGCCCCGGGCTGCTGCTGCTGCTGC